AATGGCTATGTCGCTGGATTCCCATGTAGTTGACTGCGATTCGAGTCCTGAACCTGGTGGTTTAAACTCACGCCGGGCACGTGTAAATGATACTACTGGTACTGGGAAACATCCATTTTTAACCTCAACAACTTAATAGATGGAAAATAACAATCTATAAGCTTATCTATAGTTTAGTTTTCTATTGTATGTGAACAAAATCCACCCCATTTACCAGACTTTAAACAATGTTTTAGGTTAATATCACTGGTATTTCAGAATATCTTACAAAATTTACTTTGGGTCTATTTCTTTCACAGCCTAGAACCAAATGATGCATTTTTATTCTTCCTGTAACAAAAGTACATACATCACCAAGAGAATTAGGAAAAGGAGTAATTTAATTTCGGCTAGTATGTAGCATAAATTTGAGAGTGAGTACTAGGAAAACTCAGTCAGATCTAAAAGTTACCTACTCAAACATAATGTAGTTTCTATTTTATTTATACAGCTCTCAATTCAAAAGTTGAATTATAGCCATATGCAATGTAACTGAAAAAGCCACATTTAATAGTTGATAAATAATCCATTTGTTAAAAAAATGGATATTTTTACAAATGCAGCATTATATCTTATAATTGTTACAACTTTATGGGTTGTAAAATTGACTTTACCAGCATTAATGGGAATCATTTAGAATTTGCTGTGCAGCGGGTGTCCTGAACTCCAGGCTGTGAACCAGTACCAGTCAGTGAGCTGTTGCCATTGACCGTGAGGGGTGGGCCATGGGTGAGCTGCACAGCTGGATCGGGTGAGTAACTGCACTGCAAGGTCTGGATGGTTGGCCAGCAAGGCTCTGATTGTGTTTGCGGCCACTCTGCATCACTCAGATTGCTGCCTGGGCTCTGCCTCCTGTGGGATAATGTTGGTGGTATTGTATTCTCATGCTTTTGTGTGATTGCTTTGTTGCATATTGCTGTGCGTCCATGGTGGAAATAGGGTGCACAGTGTACTTTGTACACTTGGGCTATCCTGAGACCAGCTTCCCCCCTGGCCCCCTAGCCCAGGGATTATCTTCCACAAGGCTGGTCTCTGGTGCTAGAAAGGCTGGAGACTGCTGCTCTACCCTCTCTCCTCAGTCATGGCTATAGTCTGCCATCTTTTAATGAATAATAGTTGACAAGGAATATTGGTTGTAAGGGGTGCTGTATCATTCAAAAATAATATACAAAAATCAGTTTTAATTTTACTGGTAGTTAGCTGATTAAGTATATCTAATATGTACCAGTAAGTTCAGTGCCCTTAATCAGTAATAGGTCAGGTCTGTGGTAATAAATCATACACTTTTTCTGCATAATTTTCTGTCCCCTCTCTTTACTTGAAGAATTAGCACTAATTTTTTAAGATTATCATTGTCTCCTAGTGCAGTGAGTATAGGCCGTAAATCCAAAGTTATTTAGGCGTACAGGTGACTTTTCTGCTCTTATTTCTCCATGATCTTATGGATTAAAAAAGCAAGGCTTTTACAATAAAACACCTAAGTGAGCTCCCTCAGCACGGGAGATGAGAAACTGAAAAACTACCAAGCAAACTCTGCAATTTAAATAGTTTATTTAAATTGATCATTTCACTTCCCATTGATAACATTTTGTAAATTAATGAGTTCTCTAAGGATCTAGTTCTCTAAGGATCTGGACTGGAATTTGTTAATCCAATAAAAATTAATTCTACATTGAGTACTGATCATTTTATTCTTTTTTTTTTTTTTTGGAGAGGTTTTTTCTATAGGGCGCGTGTGCTCGCCAGACAGACTGAGAGAGACGTAGAGACAGAAAACGAGAAATCACCCCCCAGAGGGGATGGTCATGCCGCAATCCCTTCTCCTCCATTCTCCTCTTGGGATCTTTGGCCCCGCCCCCACATGCGCCCGGCGTGAGTTTTAAGCCACCGGGTCTGGGACACGAACCGCGGTTGACTATGTGGGAGTCCAGCGACAGCCATTACGCTAAATGCTGGTTCCCTGATCATTTTATTCTTAAGTATTTCCGGAAACATTCCCTTTGTTCAGGCTGCATTGTCTTTTTGTGTATTTTGCACCATTGCCTTCCAGTTCACCTTCCTGTAACCATATGCCTTTCACATTCATCTTGACCCCCACTCTTGTGAGTGGTCTGTCTTGATGCAAATATTATCATAAACCACTGTTCAAAATATTAATGTTCAAGCATTTTAAAATTACTTACAAGGTTTTCTTGTTTTGACTTCTGCTCGATTTTCCATCTTCAGTGCTTTCCCTGATGCCTTTTCTCTGA